AAAGACTGAAAGCACACACCCACTCTACACCGATGTCCCTCATGACACAAGGATAAAGGACACCCCCCCCCTTTCCTAGGACTGGCAAACCCCTGGCATTTAATGCAAGGTAGGCAGCGATATTGCAACCAAGGGCCTGGCCAAGATGAAAACCATAGTCTAACCTTGTGGCTGATGACTCAGAATGTAATGATCGGTCAGGGGTGCGTTTTAACAGGCTTCAGGAGAGAGGCTTGCATCTCTCTGCTGACCTAAGTTTTCCAAGTCTGTGCATGCAGAAGGCAGGGGGAACGCCATGCCCTTGGAATTTATTGCACAAATAAGATTATTTTCTGATATGTTATCCCTTCGGACACCAATGACAATAACACAGCAAAAAGAATTTCCAAGAGTCACCAGGGTAAAAGTAAAGAAAACTCTCAATGTAGCTGTAAGGAAGAAACTTGCATTTTAATTCAAAGCTGTCATTCTAGTTCATGTTAAAGCTGGTTTTCAACTTTTTCAATGAAAAACTGCATGAAGGATTAATTTCCGTTTTCTTTTCTCATTATTGTTTGGCAGTCAAGGCGGAAGCTAGATCGCGCCACCCCAAAGACCCATTTGAGTGCAAGAACACAACTCACAATTCTCAGCTTGTGACCAAGCCAGGTGAAGGAGCCTGGAACCCACCCCAATGTGTTAGCAACTGCCCTGCACCCCTCATGCTTCCTCTTAGCATGCTGAGCTCAGTTGAAGAAGAAAGATGCAGTGCCATGGATTTCAGCATGCATTGAGCGTTCTGGGCAGCAAAATACCAAAGAGAAAATAGCCATAAAGAACAATAAATAATAATTAAAACTACCCTCCCGCCAACTCACAGATCGCTCAAGATTTCAGTCAGGAGCCCTGTTAGCTAGATGTCTTTTACGTTCAAGCCATTTTGCATGCCTCTTACTCTGAGTGATTCCAGTGTGAATATGACATTACTAATGACCTGCTAAGTGTGTGCAGATGTGGGTTTCTCCAGATGTGGTGACTAATAATGTAATGTGGAGATAGCCAGTCAACTCATGTTTATGGGTCGTTTGCCTTTTATTACATTTCTGAGTTTATTTGCTTTGAACTGTTTCTTAACTCCAGCCAACAAACTCACCTTTAAGTCTCAGAGGGCATCATCCCCCCAATCCCTGTTGAGGAAACAGGGAAGAAGGAATGTGCCTCAGGCTGGAGCTGAGTAAAGGGTTCATCGGATATTAGGGGCCCCAATATTGGGGGAAGCTGAAAGTTGAAATCATTGCCCATTTGACTCAAAGGGCCCACAAAGGCATTGGTGAACCTTGATACACTGTTTGCAAGCTGGCTAGGCCAATAAAGAAAGGGATTTCTTTAAAAAAAAATCCAGTAAAATATATGATCATTTTGAACTAAGCCCAGAGTCCTGGCCAGTGTTTCTGGAAGAGACTGCCTTGCTTTTTTGCTTGAAAAAAACAGAAATGACGAAAGAAAGTCGAGCAAAATGTTGTTACAGATGTTCTACTCTGCGTTAAGGCAGTTGGAATTGCCGCCACATCCTCAATCAATCCCCAGAACGTTGTCTGGAGGTTATGTCACCGAAATAATGAATCCTCTTTACTCAAGTATAAGCAAACACGTTAAGACATCGTTGTAACTTTAAATTAAAGTCTAGCGCCAACCGAGGGATCCTAGCCTCATTAGACTTGCCTGATATTTTTCTAGCACTGAGTCTTCCCGGCTGTAAAACTGTTGGAGGCAGGGCCCGTTAGACGGGCGGGCACTGGGAAGTTATGGCAGCACATTAAGTGTGATACTTAGGGATGTGCACAAACGAGCCCTCAGATTTTATTGGGACGCAGAGACTGGAGGGAGTTGGGCCCCTATAAAAATTCCACCTTAGATTCCTCAACTTGTTTGTGCTTTAAAGGAGATGGTAACTCAGGCTCCTTTCACAGATCATATCTTCATGAGGCTTCCACAGTTTGAAGCAGGGAGAGCCGGAGACCAAGGTATACCGTAATTAACCAGAAAGCAGGCTAACCAGGCGCCTGGGAATGTGTGTAGGCACGAGGTCAATCCACGTGCCTTTACTGAAAGTGTGTAGATTTCAGTCTCCCTTTTAATCCATGTGTTTTCCTCTCATGGAGTCACGGAAGCCATGAAATGAGAATTTTATTTTATAGCTTACCTGAAAGTTTTCCTAGATTTTGTTTTCTTTAAAAATGCAGATACCGGCAGTCAAAGGTAGTAATTAAATATGGTTTATACCCTGCTTAGGAAAAAGAAGGGATCACTGCTGCTCTGATGGGATCTAAGCCATCAGTAACAGTCTCGGTTGCACAGCGCTCATGTTTAAGCTGGGGACCTTTCCCATCTCTTCAGGGAGTGAGTCTGCCTTTCCAGGCCGTGAGCGCAGGAGGAAACCTCTGAACACGGGTTTCATTGAAGAGAACAAACCCCATTTTAAATGCAGTCTGAATACGATGGATGATCTTTCTGACTTGCAATGAAAATAAATAGTGTCCTTGCATAGACGGAGGCATAACGTTAGCAGCAGAACGGGGTGTCTCCCTGGAGCTGGCTAACAGGTATCAACTTGCAAGTCTTCCTTCCCTCTGAGCACCACTGCAGGTAAACAGACAGCGACAAGGTGCCAGGAGAATGGGCTCTTCACCAAAGAGGGCGATTGGTTGTGGGCCCAGTGCAACCGGGAAGACAAACATTAAGCAAAAGAATCCAACGGAAATGCCAGCCAGTGTGACTTTTGTTCATATCGTGACCAATATGGACAAACCATGCAACCTCTGGCGGCTTTGTTTCGATATTTCATTGGAACCATTGAAAGGCTCATGTGATAGAGAAGGAAAGAACTTTCATCCCCAGGAGTCTGACGGCCACGCATTATTTAGTCTGGCATGCACCCTACTAATCTAGGTCCCCCGTAAGTGGTCCACGTTAAAGGGTGACCTTGTATTTCCAGAGGAGTCCATGTACAACTTTCTGTCCCATTCTAAGAGGGAGAAAGTGCACACACACACACACACACACACACACACACAGGCACGCAAGCACACATTCTCTCTTTCTATCTGTCTCCTTGCCTTTCTGCCCCATTATTGCCTGGGATGCCTGGTCCTGTCCTGTGAAAGCAAGATGAATTCAGGTCAAGCTCAGAGTGCCTGTTTGCTCGCTGAGAGATGCATATCAACCCTAAGTGATTTTTTTCTATACCATTTATATGGCTGGTATTTCTTTCCTTTAATCTTTTAAGTGCTGTTTAGTCTCGGTGTGATTTGCTGTGGATACTCATTTCTGATAAGATGAGATATCCTCCCAGCCTGGGGCCCTAAGTGACTGATATGGTCGCAGTCTGAGCATGGGCCTCTGGGGGGATGGGGCGAGGGACAGAGCGAGCGGTTCTGTGGGCATTTACAGGTGCTTCCTTGCCTGCGTTTCTTCTGGAGTAGCTCTCAGTTTGAACCACGTTCTTGTTCCCTTACCCTGTGTCAGCCAGAAGTTAGACAACCTTAGGCTGGCAGTGGAATGGGGATGGGGTGCCAAGTGGGATACCTTGAGGCAGGTCCAGAAGGTCGTTGGATGACCGTAACTCCTACAGAACCATGTGTCCTACATGACACGCTAAATGTACTTGGGGTCTTCAGGGAAGTGCCATGTAATGCATGTGCTAAGATGGGTCTTTCTGGATAAGATCAAGTAGCAGAGGTGACAGTTTCTTTCCACCCCATGACTTGTATGTCATTAACATACGCCACGCATCTTTCCATGTCATCCCTGCTAATATTTCTCTTCTTAGCTTTAAGGTAACTGCTGTGCACTCTGGGTTTCAGGGTGCTTCCTCCCCCCTCTGTGTTGCAGTCAACTATGCAAACCCGAGGATCCTACTTTTCCTTCTTGCCATTACAGCTTTAGCCTGGATTGTGGGGATGGAGAGAGGGGGACTAGGATTTTCCCGCCGATGCCCTTGGGGGCCGGGCTGGGTGTGCATCTGCTAACTTATCAGACAGCTCTCCTAAAAAGAAGCATGGTGCAGGCTGATACCTCTGCAAAGCTTGTGAGCGGGTGTCTTTGGGCAAAGGCAGCGGAGTGTGCTGTGTTGTGTGTGAGCCAGGCTTCACATTGCTTCGCGCTCTGTGTTGCTTAGACATTCGGGAAACAGCCTTTGGTTTCCAAACCCCTGTGCTGCCCTCCTTCCCTACCCCTCACCACGTCATCAGAGACATCATTCAACGGCAACCTCCTCCTTGGTTTGGGGGCCCTTCTCCTCCCCAGCTCTCCAACCTTGCAGCCCGGTCCCAACTGTCCTGATAGATTAGGAAAGTTTCCCATGTGTGCAGCCCCCCTTTTGGGGCAGTGGAGGCACCAGGGCTGAGCGGGCTTCGGATTCCTGAGCCAGCCCTCGCCCATGTCCTCAGTCCTGAGTGACAGACATTGGCTGCCAAGACCTCCAATCCTAGCCTCTCCCCAGCTCTTCCTCTAGCGCAGGGATCAGGGACCAGGGAAGCCAGTGATGCCAGTGATTTGCAGAAGCAGAGGTTGCTGGCCGCTAGGGTGCTGCTATTTCCAAAAAGCTTGACTTCGGATTTTGGTTGCGAGAAAACCCATTCGATTACCCAGCAAAGCAAAGTACCCAAAAGGATCTCTTGAGAGTAATGATTGTGTGCCCTAGTCGAGAGCACTGCATTTTGTATGCGGGTAAATCACGACTTTTCTTTTCTTTTTTCTTTTTTTTTATGGCAGGGTGCGTACAAACAGGTTGTAGTCTGTTTCAAGTGCATGTTCAAACACTGGCGTGTAAGGAGGTGGCTCTTGCCTCCTCTATGCTGGCTTCTCGGACTAATACAGGGGTCTCTGTCACTGGGTCCAAAAGGCAGCCCTGATTCCTAGTGCGTGACTGAGCTGTGCGTGTGTGTCCTTTGCTACCTTGCCTGTGTTGCACAGTCTGCCCTCGCCCTGTCCATAATCTCATGAGCTGCCTGTATTTCCAGTTGAAGATGAGCAGCCCTCGACGCTGTCACCCAAAAAAAAGCAGCGGAATGGAGGCATGCGGAACTCCCCAGGCTCCTCGCCCAAGCTGATGAGGTAAGGAGAGGGGCCCCAGGCCTGGGGGGGGGGGGGGCGTCCCTCTAGCTCCTCCCCTCCCTTTCTCATCCGCTCCCCACCAGCCCAGGCCCAGTGTGGCCCTTCCCAGCAGGCCGGAGCCAGGGAGGGATGGGGTCTGAGATGGCTTCTCAAAGGCTGGAATATTTATTCAGTCAGCTTGTCAGCAGTTAATGATAGAGCTGAAAAAGTCCTGTCATGAAAAACAGTTGGAAAAGCTGTTTGAAAAATACACAGGCTCTAAAGGCGGAGCTGTCACCAGGTCCTGTCCACATGTCTCTCCTAACCAGCAGTGGCACTAATGATGGCGGCAACCAATCGGAGAACGCATGGGCCAGCTCGCCTCCGGCTAGCCTTTCTGCTGGGGGCCCTGGGAGGAGGCTGTCTGTACTGAGGGCCATATGTGCGATGTATCATCACAATCAAAAAGGAACCTGAAGATTACCCCCCTTTCATCCTGTCGCCTGGAATCAAATTTCTGTTAATTGATTTTGACTGATAAAAAAAAGTCCAATAATCTATGGACTTGCCAAAGCAAAGTTCAAAAGTAAACCTGTTCAGCTCAGACCAAAAGCAGTATTAATTATGAAATACAGTATATGCTTTCTCTCTCTCTCTCTCTCTCTCTCTCTCTCTCTCTCTCTCTCTCTCTCTCCTCTTTCCTCCCTTTCCCTATCCCCCCCCTGTCCCTTCTGTTCCTCTCTCTCCTCTCTCGTTCCCTCTCCTCCCCTTTCCTTTCCTCCCCTTTCCTCTTCTCCCCTCCCCTCCCCTTGCTTTCTTCCTATCTTGACTATGGAAATAGAAAGTAAAACCAAATTTCAGCCTGTTCCTCTTCTTGGCCTCTGTCTTTTATCTTCCCTTTTTTTGTCTTCATCTGCCAATCTCAGTGCTTATTGCCCTCAATGCCCTCACTCTCTCGCCTCTCAGAGCAGCAGGGTGATCTCCCACTGGCACTGCTCTCCCTAAGTGGTCACGTCATGGATACCCACCATTGCTACATTACTTTCTTCTTTTCATTTGCCTGGAGCACTCTTCTCTCTTTGGTTATTGGACAGGGATGGTGATTTTTCTCTCCTCACCCTCCTCCCCCACCCCCTTATCCACCACATTCACATCTTCCTGGCCCTCCCCCAGCACCTTTCTGGGACGGAGATGGACAGTCTCCTCCATGCCCTTGAGGACACAAGGTCCCATGGAGGACTCACTGGCCCATTGCCACCATACATACTTCCTGTGAGATGTTTCCTCACGGGTCCTCTGCCCTTCCCTCTGCTCAGTCTTGCTGGTGTCTCACTGATCTACATGTCGGTTTGCAGTTTATGAGGAGGAATGAAATGCGCCAACCGCCAAGCTTCTCATTGTGAAGCCAGACGCCCTGCTAGCATCCTTTCCCAGTCCCTCATCTGTAGGTAATCGCCTTATCTAATACTAATAGTTTTATCCATTTAATGTAGAGAAAAGCTCAGGCATTCTCTCGTGCCTAAATTCAGAGACACAAATAATAAATAAATGAAGAAAAGTGTCTGAAAAACCTGAAACCTTTGGAGCCAAATTCCCTGTCCCTGTTTGCTATGTAAAGGACGGCTTATTTCTTTGATCTGGAGTAATAATAATTCCGAGGAGTTATACTGTTTTCATATGCTTCAAAGCTGTGTCAAAGTTTTGCTGCTTAAGGGTCCTTCTTTATTCTGCTGGCTCTTGGGTGCCGAGATGACAGGTCCTCTGTACGGCGTGGAAGCTTTTTTAAGTCGTAGCCTTCAGCAAAACACGAAATTACCAAATCCAGGGTAACATACTTCTACACAAATGCCTTTCCTGTAGATATATTATACCATATATATATTAAATACTTTAGTGTTCCACGCTACATTTTATGTGCAATAGAAAGTGATGGCTTGAGGTAGCCTGGAGGGGACTTTTTTTCCACCAGTAGAAAAAGCCAGTGTATACCCGATCAAGTACGGTTTTTACAGGACTTTCTGCCTGAAGGCCTTTGTAAATAAGTAATGATCAACAGATTGGCTGTGGGTTTTTGAAAAGCATGCCTATGTCAGTATGCATGATGGGGGAGGATTTTCAAAGTGGGGCTTGCTTTCATTGCCTGTCGGCGAGGGGCCGAGGGAGGCAGTCAGCCTGGGCCAGCGCTGTCTGTTCTGCACTGTGTCGGGGCTGCTCACCATGGGCAGGCGTGAGCCAAGGATCGCCACGGTGCAGAGCACACGTGTCCGGTGCAGGTGCCAGGGCTCCTGTCACCCGGTGCTGCTCCCCACTGCCACGCTGGTCCTGGAACGGGCTATCCCATGACCAGCCAGAAAGTCTCACCTGTCCATTACTTGTGAGTGCCAGGTGCTCTCCTGATCCTGCTGAGGGGCAAGGACAGATACTAACCCCGCTCTGTTTCTCATCACTCTGTGGGCATGGAGACCACAGGCTTGCTCGGGTTGGGGTATCTGGGCCTGGCTGCCAGGGCCTGTGGTTACTATATCCCTCTTGTTGATTGAGAGAAACAGGGGCTCATGCAGCCAGTCCCCCCTCCCTCCCTCACCCCCTACTCTCTCTAAAGTCTCCCTTTCTATTTTATAAAAGACAGGACTTCCAGGTCCTGTTCCTTATGATCTTGAAAACCCCATTCAGGAAGCGAAGGGTGTAGTGAAGTGGGCTTTTTGACATGCCATGGACTTTTTGGGGGCGTGCCATCTGAGCAGAATTCCTGCGTGTGGGCAGGTTTCAGGGGCCGACGGGCCAGGACAGCAGTAACTCCAGGAGAAGCCACAGAGTCCAGACGGGTGAGGGTGGGATTTAATTCACCACCATGGCTCCTGCGAGTAAAACAGGCCCCTGGTTGGGCCTCCGCACTCATGGGTCTCCGTCTCCCTTTGCCCTGGTATCAGACCCACCCTGATTTTTTAAGGTCATTTATTGTTCTGCGCCATCAGTAGGTGAACAGCCTTGTTTGTGTGTCTGGATCAGACAGGATGTTTTTGAGTCATCCTGACAGTAAACAACTCTCACAGTCAAACTGAGCAAAATGGCCAATGTCTGTGCTCCCATCCAGGGATTCCTGTGTCATCACAGGCGGCCTTTGTCTTCACAGCCCCTGGGAGAGAGGGCCATCGAGGTTCCCAGGACCCTGATACTCCCCGTCCTTGCTGGTCTCTCCACATGGACGGATTTTAGGAGCTGCTCTGGCTTTCCTGCACACGCCAAGCACCCACCACTTCTCAAACCTCCTGGCTGGTGGGTTGTGCCTGTAAAAATAGCTGGGATTCTTCAATTGTAAGGCCTTCTGGGCAAGAACTTTGTGTCTAAATAACTAAATCAAGACCCTCTTAATTTGAGGGTCTCACAAGCCCCACTGAAGAGCCAATGAAAACCCTCCAGCAGGTCCCCCCAGGGAGAAAGAGGGACGCTGGGCACCATTTTGCCTACAGCTGCAGCGGCTTCATGGATTTCCAACCCCCGTGCCCAGGTTACAGCCACAGGCAATTCTTCCCTGTCCTTGCTTCTCAGATGCTTCTTGTGCTGAGAATACTTCTCATGTGAGTGGATAGAAGCCCTGCTGGGCTCTCATGCCCTGTTCTCAGATGGAACCCACCCAGGCTGTGCATTCTGGCTGACTGCTTCTAGCCTTTTCTCAGATTTGTTTCCATCCTGCCGGTACTCAGTGAAAACCTGATGCATTCAGGTGTGTAGAGGGTGTGTGAGGTGCAAAGGAAGATGGATTAGGGTCAGTGTCCACCTGAAAACGCTAGTTTCATGGAGGAGACAGACCAGCCTATACAGCAAAATAGAGGAGGAGCAGTTTGGATAGCTACCAGCATTGGCCCCAAGAACAGAGAGCTGATGTCACCTCTGAGCCCGTGTGTGTGTGTGTGTGTGTGTGTGTGTGTGTGTGTGTGTGTGTGTGTTAAAAGGTTCCATTTAACCAGATCCTGAGTGAGGAGGAGACCTCTCTATAGATGATATTATCTACCCTATGCATTGTTTACCCGGTGCCACTCATCCTTCCAAGAGCATCATGCCTGTGAACTCGCTGAATCCCAACTACAGCTCCAGAAGAGGAATTATCCCCCACCCCCACCCCATAGACGGAGAAGTTGAGTCACAGCTGTAAGGTCTAGTGAAATCCAGGAAGTCATAGCTAATAATGAGGAAGAGTTGAACCCATATTATTAACTTCCAAGTCCATGTTATTAACTCCTTCACTATTGGTCCCAATGGAGGGCAGAGGGAAAGTGCTCAGGCCACAGGAAGTGGCTTAGCGAACTCTGGAGCACTCACTCCCATCATAGGTGCTGGGGAAGCCTCACAGGGGTTTGAGGAGGCAGTGCCCTAACTTGTGTTTGGGAGGGTCACTGGTAGCCTCCCAAAGAGACCACAGAGACACGTGGTACATGAATTCAGAGGTATGAAGGGAAGGCCCAGCCCACCCAGTCTCTGCCAAGATCCTAGGGACACCAAACCACACAGAGCCTGCTGTAGAACATGGACAGGAAGCAACTACATGGTCTACCCAAGGACCCACATAACATGAGCATCCCTGACGTCAGCTCTTATTACTCCCATTTCCCCGGGAGCTAGGGAATTTTGAGAAAGATCAAGAAGTCTGGGCTGTGAGGATTTATGCACCATGGGTTGGCCAAAGTCATAGTCCCCAGCTGGGCCAGTAAGGATTATGAACGACCCCCAAAACAGAAAAATTGAATACTGTGAGGGAGCTTCATGTCATGAGATTGAGAAAATATTAGACATTCGTTTCCTGAATGGGAGGAGAACTGTGATTTGAGAGAAACAGATCATCCTCTTGGGCATTTACTAATCATTAAGTGAAATAAACTCATCTGCTTGCTAAGTCCCATTCTCTCTCCTTTGACTCTTACCTTCCATGGGTCTCTCTGTTAGGACTGGTGGCTTGACAGGTTTAGTAAGAGAAGAAGGCAGAGTGGCCTGAGTCCAGTCAGAGTTGGGGACAGAATAAAGAA